AAAAAAAAAAAGAAATAAGCACTGCAAAAGGTTAATAATGGTCTTGAATTTGTCCAAGCTGACCTAGGACTAGAAATCAGATCTCCTGACTTGGAACTGTCTTCTGGAACTAAGGAAGGAATAATCCCTGTATCTCTGCACCCAGGGTGGGAAAATCCTGGTTTCTAAATCTTTTGTTGGACCCAGGAAGAATAGGTAGGGGTTGTATCCAATCACCATATCTCTTAACATTGTTTTGCTGCTTCAGGCCCACCATGGAAGCTCAGGGTGCCTTGACAGCCTATTCATTCAATTAACCAATAATTTAAAAAAAAGTTTTTAATGTTTATTTATTTTTGAGAGAGAGAGAGAGCACAAGTGGGGAAGGGCAGAGAGAGAGAGAGAGAGGGAGACACAGAATCCGAAGCAGGCTCCAAGCTCTGAGCTGTCAGCCCAGAGCCTCAAGTGGGTCTGGAACTCGTGAGATCCTGACAAGCAATGAAGTTGGTGGCTTAACTGACTGAGCCACCCAGGCTCCCCTAACCAATAATTTTTGTACTGTTTGTCGGATCTGTATTATGAAAAATTTCCATCTCAACATAAATTCTCGTACTTGTCTTGTTAGGTTACAAGGAAGCTTTTCTTTTCCTTGGGACTTGAAATTAATCTGTTCCCATGCATTATGATGTCAGCAAAGAACAAATTACACTACTTTGTTTTGGTTTTGATTATTAAATACTTACTAATCATTCTTTTCATTACAAGAAAATCTTGGAGTTAACAGTACACTAAGTCTTTGTAAAATTCTTCCAGGATTCAACCAACAAGTATTGGCAGAGAACACAAGATTATTAAATTTATTGTTTTCTATTCCAACAATTCCATAAACTGTTAGTCATTAATAACATTTGCATGTACTGTACTTCCTGTCCATTCCTCTAGATATAAGATTTTTTTTTCTCTCTGATTTCTTTCAGGATTTTTCTGTCTTTGGCTTTTGCAGTTTCAACATGGTATGCCTATGTATGGGGTTTTTTTGGTTTTAGGTTTTTGTTTTTTTGGTATCCATCCTGCTCAGCGTTTTCTTTTTTAATTTTTTTAAGTTTATTTATTTATTTTAAGAGAGAGAGAGAGAGAATGCAAATGGGGAAGGGGCAGATAGAGGGAAAGAGAGAATCCCAAGCAAGCTCCCTACTGTCAGTACGGAGCCCAACATGGCGCTTGATCGCACAGTGAGATCTTGACCTGAGCCGAAATCAAGAGATGCTCAACTGACTAAGCCACCCAGGTGCCCTAAAGATTAGTTCCAAATTATGGAAATAGCCCAAGTGTCCATCAACTGATGAGCGGATAAAGAAGATGTGGTATACATACATATGTGTATATGTGGTACACACACACACACACACACACACACACACACACACACACACACTGGAATATTACTCAGCCATAAAAAAGAATGAAATCTTTCCATTTACAAGGACGTGGACGGATCTAAAAAGTATTATTCTAAACAAAATAAGTCAGAGAAAGACAATACCATATGATTTCACTCATATGTAGAATTTAAGACATAACAGAAACAATTAAAAGGGAAAAAGAGAGAGGCAAACCAAGAAATAGACTCTTAACTATAGAGAACAAGCTGACTGTTAGCAGGGGGGACGTGGGTGGGAGATGGATTAAATAGGTGATGGGGATTAAGGAGTGAACTTCTTGTGATGAGCACCAGGTGTTTTATGGAAGTGCTGAATCACTGTATTGTACACCTGAAACTAATATTACATTGTAGGTTAACTAACTGGAATTTCAATAAAAACAATGAAAAAAATAATAAAGCTAGGGGCATCTGGGTGGCTCAGTCGGTTACGTGTCTGACTCTTGATTTTGAGTCAGATCATGATCTCATGGTTGTGATATTCAGCCCCACTTTAGGCTTGTGCTAGGCTTGGGGCCTGCTTAGGACTCTCTCTCTCCCTCTCTCTCTGCCCCCCCCCCCAAAATAAACTAATTAAAAAAAAAGAATAAAGTTGTATTTTACAGAAAAGTTATCTACACTGACTTAGTTTTTTAAAAAAGAGTTTTATTGAGGTATAATTTATATACCATAAAATTCACCTGTTTTAAATGTATAATTCAATAATGTTTAAAGAAAATTTACAGTTATACAACCATCACCAGAAAACAATTTAGAACATTACCACCATCCCTCATGCCCATTTGCAGTTTATCATCATTCTCATTTCTATCTAGCCTTAGGCAATCACTACTTTCTGTCTTTATAGGTATTCCTTTACTATACATTGCACGTAAATGGAATCATATAGTATGTAGTCTTTTTCATCTGTCTATATTCACTAAGCATAATGATTCTGAGTTTTTGAGTGTGAGATCATGGACCTGAGTGGAAATCGAGAATCAGATGCTGGGGAGCCTGGGTGGCTCAGGCAGTTGAGCATCTAACTTCAAGCTCAGGTCATGATCTCACAGCTCATGAGTTCAAGCCCCATGTCGGGCTCTGTGCTGACAGCTCAGAGCCTGGAGCCTGCTTCAGGTTCTGTGTCTCCCTCTCTCTGCCCCTTCCCTACTCACGTTCTTGCCTCTCAAAAATAAACATTAAAAAAAAGTCAGATACTCAACCAACTGAGCCACCAAGGTGCTGCAATATTTTGACCATTTTAAAACTCAACTGTCTTCTTGAGTTGTAAAGGTTCTCTGTATACTCTTAGCAGAAGTCCTTTATCAGAAATATGACTTCCAAATATTTTCTCCAAGTCTGAGGCTTAAACTTTAATTTTAATTTTCTTAATAGTATCTTTTAGGTACAAAAGTTTTTAATTTTTATGAAGTATAATTTATCAATATTTTCTTTTATGGATTGAGCTTTTAGTATCATATGTAAGAATTTGTGTCTAACCAAAGACTTTCCCTATGTTTTATTCTAAAAGTTTTATAGCTTTGGATCTTAAAATTAGGTGTATGGCCCATTTTAAATTATTTTTGTGTATGGTGTGAGGTAAGGTTCTACATTTATCTTTCTGCATGTGGATATTCAGCATCACTTGTTGAAAAGACATTTTCACCCAATTGCTTTGGGATTTTTGTTGAAAATCAATTGCTCTAGTTTAGTTTTAAATTTTAATTAAATTAAAATTCAGTTTCTCAGTGGTTCTTAATACATTCCAAGTCCTCAACGGCCATATTTAGCTAGGGGAAGACAGGGAGAGTCCCAATCAAGTCAGGAAGGTGGGAAAGCCCAGCCTGGGGTGGGGGAGTATTGGTAGACCAGTCAGACCTGGAGGTGGGAGGCTGTGAAAGGATAAGATGGTATAAGCTGTGACCAATTTAAATGCCAGCCAGGGGCGGCCTAGGCTTTGTCTCAGATACAACGTAGGCCCTGGAGGCTTCTATTCATGACAGATATGTAAGATATGTAA